TTAAAGTTCCGCTTTAAGCATTACCTAAGAAATATATGATTTTGAAGCTTTCCTTCCATCTCGATAAACACGAGACAACCTTAAAAGCAAATATTCTGGTGACTTCCCGCTGTTCCGGGAATATCGTTTGCAATGACGATACAGACTCCATTGTAACGAAATTAAAAGGAAAAAATGTATTAAGGTAAATAATAACTAAACATATATATTGTAAATATTAAGATTGAATGGTATTTTTCAATGTTCATGCCGTTGTGAACTCAAATCGGTTACATATTTTACCAAATCGGGCTTCATTTAATTTCTGTGTAACCGATATGTGTCTATACCAGCATAAATTTGAAAAGCAAATATCGTTCAAGCCTTATTCGATTGAATTGATTCACAACTGAAAGCAAATTTTAATTATAATTCTGTTAGTGTCTCCTACGAAATTCGTACAGGACCGATAACGGTGTGAAGACTATCGTCGCGTGCCGGCATCGAACCAATACGTTGACTGCATTTTAACTTTGACGAAAATCCATGTTTATAACGGAACACTTATGTGTATGTAGAATACATATACAAGTTTATGTAAGAGTATATGTATGCCTGCTAAAAATGACTGCATGATGATCGTAAAAGAAATAATATTAAAAAGCCAAGCATCACTGTAAAAAGTCTTTTGTTTTCCCACTTAATGACATAAAAGATTCCCAAGCTTAAATCTGCTGCACGTGCTGCAGCGTTTTTTCGTTTGTTTTTTTCTAAATGCTTTTTTGTTTTCTAACTCTTTATATAAGAATAGCTCGTTTTGTCCAAGCAAGGAAGTCTTGATGTTGCTACCGATAGCTTCCTTAATGGCGTTAAACTTCAAACTGGTGGCGGTATGGCTCATTAGGCCGCGTGACTGTGTAAAGGGACTGCCTTACCAGTGTGGTAGCACATTAAAGTTACACCCTAGTTGATGCATGCCTTTTAAAGCTTTAATTGTAGCGTTTACAAGGACTTAACAAAGGCAAATCAAGCTATAAATGTCGGCTTTTGCGTTTATATATTGCATTTTTGTATGATTAATGAACAATTTAAATAACCAACAAATTTCACACTGAATTGAAGTTGATGTCAATAATTTATTTTTAATTGAAACTATCCTTTATTTGTATGTACATAACTTATCATATTTCACACAGAATTGACACTGATGTAACAATTATATGTTTTTAATTGAAATGGACATTCATTTCTATGTACATAATTTTACATATTTCACACAAAATCGACATTGATGACCCAAATTATGTTTCTATTGACATTAACATTGATAGGTTGATTCATTAGATGTTTGTTCTATTAAATGTCAACTGACACCGATCAACTGACACCGATACGAATTGTAGGTATACCGTTCACGGTATTTGAGCTTGTATAACACGACACAAATATTATAATTGCTATTTATTAAAACGAATAGCCTTCAATTCGAATTAGTCTTAACTCGGATTTTTTTCAAAAAGGGTAATCTGTTACTTTTGCTGTTGTTGATGTTTTTTGTTTCGTTTAAAGTTCTATTTGTTGTCCTTGCATAGGTCCGTTTGATCTTTTGTCTTAATATTTTTCTGAAGTCTTTTTTATGTGTGTCGATGTTTGATTGATAGTTCTACATTGTAGATTCACATGAGTGGTGGCATCGTGAAGGATAAAAGGCTACCCTTCCTATTCTCCTTGTATTTTTTTCCTTTGTTTATACTTATCACTAAATAGAATAATAAAGTTAAATCGATTTTGAGTTCGAGTTATGGTCCTGGTGACACTTCGTTACTCTCGTTGTTTTTCATGACAATGGTAACTTCGTAATATATTTTCATTTTAAGCGTTTTATATGCTATGATAAAGTATCTTTAACCTGAATAATTTCTCCAAAGCTAGTTTATTCTTAAAAATAAGTATGTTTAACGTAAACAACCGCACAGAAGAATTGGCCAATACTTGTCTAGTTCCTAAGGTGCAAATCAGTAAATTTAGTCTTCATTCGCTATATGTATTATATTATACAAAAACATTATATAACGTCATCATTTTGTTAACGGAACACATTGTTTTATATGCGCAATAACAATTCCAGTGCATTTTTTTACTGAAGACAGTCTCAAGTTCACATTGTCATATTTGAAACTACAACGTTCTTTAAAATAAAGTCAGGACATTACTTTAAAAAGTTACGCGAACTTATCTTATAAAAGTAGTCAGTGAGCCCAACATATGGTAATAGCTTATTTTGAAACTGGGCCTTAAGATATGTTAGTTTAAATGTCTTCTTGAAAACTTAACGATACATGCTTTTCCGGACAGAGGTCCTGAAATAGTGTTTCTGTTGTCATAAAAAAACCACTTTAGTTTCCGTGCGTGTTCTCGGAAAAGTAAATAAGTCGTCCGGCTGTGACTTGTGTGGTTATTTCTATATTTAAGGTGGATAAACTTGTTATTTTAGCAATATTACAGAATTTCGTTGGGTTTTTTTTCATTTAAGCAATATTGTGGCAACATTTGGAAATTTTTTAAAAGTGTTATATGGGCAACATTGTGGAATTTCAATAACGCACATCTAAAGGTACAAAAGAAATTTCTACTGAGGTCGGTATCTTTTGGTAACATTTGTAAGGATTCCGAGTTACATGTGTTGTGTGGTCTTCATAACAAAAAGTTTGTCTGATATATCAAATAGTTCAAAAGGGTGGGGTTTACGTACATTCCATACCAGCAAATCTAGACAATAACGTTGCATATAAATGAGCTATGTTTCCCGAATCAATGGCTCATTTATATACAAAGCTGGCATTGATTGTCATAGAAAGGGACACAAGCGCTTTATCATTTCAATTAAGTAGTAAGTTTGAAAACGGATATCCTGTTGCATTATATCAAAACAATAAAACGTGTCGCAACGTTTCAAGACCAACTGGTCCCTTTGTCAAGCTATGACTGAGTGAGCAATTAGTATGACACCAGGTAAGTCATGTAAAAGACCCGATACTGACCTACCTGTAGATGGGGCGGGATATACACCCTACCTACACTCCATATCGAGAGTGAAAAATTATATTTCGTCAGAATAGATCTTTCGATCCTTGTGCGACATGTGTGTGAAAGTGACGATTTGTTTATAAAATATCAGTTTGAAGTGCGCTCCGGGCGCGGGGCGCATATTTCCCGCATATTATAGAGGGCCGGAGTTCTGACGTTAATCGACGACAGACCAATATGAAAAAGTCGATAAAACGTCAGAATAATTCGAACTACCTCGAAGGGTATCATTAAATGTTAGGACCAAGGATTATTACTACAACACGAACGGACGAAATATGCTGATAAATCATGTAACTATATCTACTGTTTTTTTATGCATTCCATCTCTTTGTAGCTGTGTATGACATGTTTATCCATAGCGAATGATGATGTGTGTACGGTGTAACTTGATAAAATTTTCATTTTTGTCGAGGTCGAAGTCGTTTAGATAATTTTACTTCATCTTGTTAAAGCTTTGAAGACGATTACACGATTTTTTATCTTTATTAAAAAAAAAAAAAAAAGTGTCATATTTTCAAAACATATATAACAAAATTAACTTGAATTAATTTAAACAGAACTTGTTGGTCAAGTGGAGATTTTAATGCTTTGAGTTTTGTGAAACACGTTTTCTCTTCTGGTAAAATGAGGCGGATACGTCTGGAAAAGTACAAGGACAAAAAGGTTCTTGTTGCACAATATTTGTCTCTTTCGTTGACGATACCCACCATATAAACCGAGGTCACACTAAAGTAAATGCACAGCCTAAATGAGAGAACACCCGAGAGTGACGTAGAATCAACAACAGCCCTGTATCCTTTTCCAGTTTTTGTTGAAATCTGAATCCCCTTTCCCGGATAGAGGAGCTAACTCACCTTTATACAAATGTTCTTGGCTGGAGGCAGTTTCCCGCGTGTTTATTCGGATTCATATGAAGATTTCTTTGTTATTGTCATGGCTTTCAAGGTTCTGCTGGTGTCTCTTGTGCGTTATTTTAAGTTCAAATCCCATCGATTTGAATTTGTGCTCCAGCATGTTATTTTGTTATTATTAATTGAATTGGTTTAGCAAAATTTGGTCCAACACATTTATCAAGAATTATTTGAGTAAAGTAAATCATAGCGTTAAGCAATGGAAAAGGCATTTTTAATTATAGACCTGTCGAGGACATTTATATCACCAATCAAACATTTGATTGAAATTTGAAGTGATTTTACCATTACACTGACAGTTCCTACAAAAAGACGTGCTCGAGTGTACCTTCGATCCATGTCCACTGTAACACGACATTTACACTGCTGAGCTGGTACAGTATTTACGTTAATGCGGTATCTCCAAACCATTATCATAAAACACAATTCTGTGATTAAAGAAATTCTTAAAAAAGAAGTTTGAATCATATGACAAAATGAATCATGCAGTATTGAAAAATACAATTCTGCTAAAAAGAATGCTTTATATTTTACAAACGAATAATTAAACAAACAAAGTCTTCATGTGGAGATTTCCGCGATTTGTACCTTATACACTGCAACGCGGCGTGCAACCTTTTTTAGTTGAAATATATTTTATATCAATATTTGAACAAAGGATTATGCATAAGTTATATATGAAACTACGCCTTTTGATTTCGTCTTTCTGTTCCCATCAGTGTATTAACATTCATATCTTAAATGATGAAATAATGAAGAAGTAACACATTCTGCCACAATATATTTCCATTTAAAAGACTCAATACAGTCTTAGTACAGAATCCCGAAATTGTGAATAAGATATTCGTTATTTCCCGTTTAAACAGCTGTCCAGTAGGTTTAGAAACATATTTCAGCATTATGACTACCGAAACATTAGCGTTATCTTTTGACAATCGGACATGTCAATTTAGTACAAAAACATGCTAGGGTGAGATATATATGGTTGCGAATAAAAAGGTCATAAACAGAGTAATTAAGAGTACAAATTAATAAAGTTTAATTATAAAATTAACTGTCACAAGAAACAAATTCAGTGTACATATAAAACTCTTATGAAACTGGCACGTTTCAGATAACCCTACAAAAAGTTTATGAAATATAACAACTTTACCTTAGCTAATCACCACTAAGAAGAACCAGATCACGCCTTTCCCATATTGTGACGTCTGCCCTTCCAGGTACCGAACGTTTAAATTGGAATTAATACAGGCATAGTACCACCACGCTCCTTCGTAGTATAAGGCACAGTTTGTTCTTGCTGAGTGGTTATCGTTATATCTCGTTGTGAAACCACATCCATTATGATAGGCAAGTCCATCGTCTAGAATGAAAGTAGGTATATAAAATACATATCAGTGTCTAAGATTCAATAGTATAAGGGTGATGATAAGAGGATATGGAGACGGACATATTATACCCTAACCTGGTGAAGATATATGATACATCTATGATGCATTTGATGTTGTAAAAATAAATTAAACAACATTCATAATTAGCAACAAATGTTGATTTCCTGCATATGTTTACTTAGTAACAATTATGCTACCACTTAGTCCGAATTATTCTGACGTTTTATCGACTTTTTTCATATCGGACTAAAACCCGAACAAATTGGTAGTGCAGATCGAGCGTTAAACTGCGGTTAAAATTACCTCACGAAATGCAAGTTTAAATTAGACTATAGGTAAATGATATGCGCATCATGGCAGTTTTTTAACAGGGTTTGTCTATTTTTCTATTTTTGCCTCTGTTTTTCATGGTTTTTTTTATTTATTCATTTATTTGTTTGGTTTTTTTCCCTCATATTAAATTTGTGACATCTTTTCACGTATAACTTAAATGTGCATAAAACATGATATTTTTATAAAGGTACGTAAATATACCTGCAGTTCCAAAATAGTTTGAGACGTTTAGCCTGTATTTGGTCGATTGATCTCCAACGGCGAAAGGCATGTAATGTGCGTACGTTCTGATGGACTCGAAATCCTCTAGTTCTACCCTCAGTTCATGACTACCGTTTGATGTCAAGTAGTAGATGATCTCGTTTCCTATCAATAAACAAAGAAAATATCTTAAATGTATAACAAAGGTTTATTGCGATTGGTGTCTTGTTATTGGACACATGCATGTATTTCATTTGGCACGAATTGATAATTCAGGAATTGAATGGATAAATTATATAAGTAAAATATTAAAATATAGGTTATCGACGAGAGTAAACAAGAATATTTTGAAAATTGTCTTTGTTATGCAATGAAAGAAGATTACAAATTATTGTTCATAGTTAAATAACTTCAGAAATAAATCGATATTTTTTACAGTGCATGGCTGATTAGTCATATAGAGTTTTGTTTGGCAATTTTAATCAACTATTTAATACCTATCCAGCCAAACTTCATTTTCTGAATCTCCAAACCCATTTTTGGTATTCGACATAAGTTTTGTTGAAATCGACAGTCCCATCTGTGCGCCTTTGAAAAACCTGTGAAAGATCGAAATGAGCATATGATGAGACAAAGTTTAAACAAGAACCAAATATGTTTATAACAGTTATTTTTCGTTGTTGTTTTAATATGAATTATTTAACAGTCGTCGATACAACAGCGGAAGAGAAAACATATTAGCAAGCGCCAAATTAAAACACAAGGGGGAAATAAGACGTCGATGTTAACACAAAAAGACAACTAACGGTTAAAATGGAGGCATGTTAGCCTAGTGGTAGGTCGCCGGGCTCGTGACCGAAAGGTTGCAAGTTCGACTCTCGTCACGGCACTGTGTTGTATCTTTGAGCAAGATACTTTACTTCGCTTGTTGCAGTCTACTCGGGTGTAAATGAGTACGTGGCTGGGTAGTGCTAGACTTGTAGAACGTTAGTTTTGAGCGCCGAAATGGCAGAACCGGCTGTATGCTCCCCAGGGAGTTGAGAAAGATATTGTCTTGTTGCAAAGGCCCTATAACCACGGATAATAATTTGTGAACCGCTTTGAGACGACCTACGAACTAAATTGTGATAAAGCGGCTGTAAGAACGTCAAATTATTAATCATTATTATTATAAAAGAAATCTATGCCGTACGGGAGACATGCTGGACACCCACAAAGAGAAGGTTGTATGGTATTTAACCGTCATGATGCTGTGTGTCGTTAATAGCAAAATAAGTCGATCACCAACATCTTTAGACACTATGTACATGTCGTTAAGCACCCAAACATCAAAATCCAGAAGGAGGTCACGTTGAACGTCTTAACATTGCTTGAGAGAGTGTTCTCATGTAGATATCCTTTTTAAAGATGTTCACAGATCAGCAAAAAATGATTACGAAACTTGAATATTATACGTTATCTTCTGCCACTTACCGTCCATCCGCCTCCGTCTGTTTCCATGTCGCAGAAAACCTGCTTTTCCGTAAAGGTCTCATCGGCGGTTAACATGGATATATTATACAGGCCAGACTCCGTTTTACCGTTTTGTTTGGCGTCATCACAGTCTAAAAATGCTAGACAAAACACAAGTCTTAAATGCTTAAAACTTTAAAGTAACAAAGATGTATCGTACCAAACTTAGTTAAAAGTTACATTTTGTAATATTCTATAAGTTTGCATGAATAAAACACCACTTTCATATCACAAATTGACGTAAACTATAGGCATTACATTGATACAAGCCACTTTCATTGTACCATAAATAGGAAATGTACATCATGAAAATAGAAGTTAACTATTAACTATCTCAAATGCGGCTGGAGCACATAACACCAATGGCGGGTTTCACACACAGCTAGGTATTTGATATAGTTACTGTCTAACACTGCCATGCTGTGCAACCAAAACATGCAAAAAATGTCGTGTTTAACAGCACAATACGTGTTTTACACATGATTATGACTTTTTTGTCCCTGATGAGCTGCATTGTTTCTTTTATGAATGGCACTTTATCTATAACTTCGTGGCATTTCATATATAGTTTGCCATAAAAAGATCATTGCGATGCTGTATAATCATAATAATTCTATTTTTGTTGATGGATTACATATTTGAGAATTCGGTAAATATTGTGCAAATGACATTAATTTAATCAATTTGTTGTAACATCATTACGGAAAACTTTACAAAAGTCCCCGATTCTATCCCGCAGTCGTACCACGGTCAATGATGTGTAATCCGCTTTGAGACGACCTACAAACTTGGTTGTGATAAAGCGGTATATAAGAAACTCGTTTTATTAGTATCAGGGAGGCACGGTAGTCAAGTGGTAGGACGCCGTGCTCGTGACCGAAGTGTTGCGGGTTCTCGCCACGGCACGGCAATGTGATGTATCTTTTGTTCGCTTATTTCAGTCTACTTAGCTGTAAATGAGTAGTGGTTGGGCAGTGCTAGAATTGTTGACTTCTAGCTGTGAGCACCGAAATGGTAGCACCGTCTGTATGCGCCCTATAACCAGGTACGGATTATAATTTGTGAACCGCTTTGAGACGAACTACATGTAGGTTGTGATAAAGCGGTATATAAGAACCTTCAATTATTTTTATCTAGTATCATTATTATTAGTCGTAATTGATGTTGATTGAAGTCATCTTACTGTTCGTATTATTGTTATACACCCATATAACAAATTTGAGGGAAATCGGTCAATATCATATTTTTTTTAATAAAAGAGAAGAATTACAGGCTTTTGGGACTGAACCATATCACACATTGCACATACTCCAGAAAGCATTTAAACAACAGATTTGTATGTAACTTACATTGGATATCTTCTGCAGGTGCCGCCCTGGTGGTTGTGGAAGTTGTTTAGGTTGGAGTTGTAGTTGTGGTTGTGGTTGGAGTGGTAGTAGTCCGAATTATTCTGACGTTTTATCGACTGTTTTCATATAGGTATGTCGTCGATTAACGTCAGAACGTCAGAGTTGTGGTAGTAGTCGGAGTTGTCATGGTGGGTGGAGATATGGTAGTTGCCGGAGTTGTCGTGGTGGTTGGAGTTGTTGTAGTTGTCGGAGTTGTCGTGGTGGTTGGAGATGTGGTAGTAGTCGGAGTTGTCGTGGTGGTTGGAGATGTGGTAGTTGTCGGAGTTGTCGTGGTGGTTGGAGTTGTTGTAGTTGTCGGAGTTTTCGTGGTGGTTGGAGTTGTGGTAGTTGTCGGAGTTGTCATGGTGGTTGGAGTTGTTGTAGTTGTCGGAGTTGTCGTGGTGGTTGGAGATGCGGTAGTAGTCGGAGTTGTCGTGGTGGTTGGAGATGTGGGAGTTGTCGGAGTTGTCGTGGTGGTTGGAGTTGTTGTAGTTGTCGGAGATGTCGTGGTGGTTGGAGTTTTGGTAGTTGTCGGAGTTGTCGTGGTGGTTGGAGATGTTGTAGGAGTCGGAGTTGTCGTGGTGGTTGGAGATGTGGTAGTTGTCGGAGTTGTCATGGGGGTTGGAGTTGTTGTAGTTGTCGGAGTTGTCGTGGTGGTTGGAGTTTTGGTAGTTGTCGGAGTTGTCGTGGTGGTTGGAGTTTTGGTAGTTGTCGGAGTTGTCGTGGTGGTTGGAGATGCGGTAGTAGTCGGAGTTGTCGTGGTGGTTGGAGATGTGGTAGTTGTCGGAGTTGTCGTGGTGGTTGGAGTTGTGGTAGTTGTCGGAGTTGTCGTGGTGGTTGGAGTTGTTGAGGTGGCTGGAGCTGTGGTCGTGGTTCGAGTTGTAGTCGTTATATCTTTAGTAATACTTACTAATGAGCTTGACTCTGTAACATAGCAAATTTGAAAGATATATGCCACGGCCATTAAACTACATTCCGTTATTTTGTTTTATTATTGACTTTTCGAGGTCGATAGTTGTTATATAGACTCGATAAATTTAACCGAGGAGATAGTATATACAAAATTATTAACCGAGACAAAAGACCTTATTTATTATATAACATAACATGTACATGTATTTAGATAACATGAGTTAGTAAATTTACACATAGTGAGAATATCCAGTTCTGAATTTAGAATATAGACATAATACATCGTTTTTTTTCTATGAACAACAAAAAAGAGCATTAAGAAAAATCATTCATGTACAACCTGTTAAGATACCATACCTTGTACAAAGGTATCTAGTAAACAAGTTAAAATAACAGAATGTTCATTATTACTGTCATATCTGCTATAAATTAGTAAGCCCGAAACTATCATATCAGGAAGCGTCGAGGGTTGATACAGATTTGATATGGCATGAACGGTATTATTTTTCTGTTTATTACATACTTATATACATATTTATAGTGAATGGTTCATCTTGAGCGTTATTATTCCTTCGCTTCCAAAAGAACCAAAACCTTGTAAGATATATCATTTCAGATGATCATCGGATTCCGTTGTTTTATTTATATTATCAATTATTTGCGAATCAAAGGTGGCAGTGTAAACACGATTTAATGTAAATGTAACCCAAAATCTCACCATATTTACCTTTAGTGTTTAAGCTGGTACCGCCTATGTCTATTGTACCGGAATATCGCATGCTGGCTGACAGACATGTTGGTGACTCTGAAATCTACCATAAAAGTCGAGCCAGATGTGAGTTATAACCCACCAAGATGTAATTCAGTTCATTTTGGACATCGCACGTGTGTATCCCAGTGGTGCCTGTGTCGTCCTGGGCGTCTCCGTCACTGAGAAATGTTAGGAACAGAAAACCAAGGAACAGTGTCCTTGTCATGGTAGTAGACGGCTCCGAAGTGTAACATGTAGGTCCTGTTGCTCACGTCGCCAAAACTTTAAAAAAAAATCTAAACATTCCACACATTAATACGCTGTAAAGCACAATACATCTTTGTAAGTATGTCTATTTCGTCTTACTTGTCAGTTCAGCACGTGTTCCAGATATTTAAATAAATTACAAAATGCGATAAGGATGTGATATGTATACTCCTGCCTAATTTAAAGTTCAGGAAATAAGTTATTCGAAATATTGACGTAAGATGACTGAACGATCGACAATTATGTTGTCAATATTTGATTAAAATTTAATATCTGTCTCGTCACACATTTTGTGATCAAGTAATACCATTATTGTACCCGGTAAACAACAGAACACACACACCAGTATCCAATGTCAACGCACTGTACATCCAGTCATTTCAGCAAGTCCGTACAACTTTTAAAAATGTAATTATTTTATATATCTTTTTACAATTATTGATAATTAATTTAATGATATGAATTCAAAGTACAACAAGCTGTTACAGTGTATGAGGATTTTAATAAGATCCAATCAATATTTAAATAAATATAACTTGATTTTTTTTTTAAATGAAAAACAAACATGTTATTTTCAAATGAAATTACATTGTACGGCTGTACTAATAAACCTGTTTAAATGTCCGTAAAATGGTGTCGGTATTTTTGTTTGTTTGATTTTATGGTAAATGAGTTTTCTATGCTCACACTATAGGTACGTACTTGTTAACAAAACTGTTTATTTTGTCAACTTTATAATAACCCCTTAAAGCGGTATCCTGGAGTATAGGGATTGCAGTGTTGTTGTCGTAACTGTAGTGTTATTTGGTACGCAAAACATGCTAAGAAATTTAACCCTTCTGTACTACTTCATATAAATCATAACCGTACCCTCCAGTTCATGTGTTGGTGGGAAAATGTTTGTTTTAATTATTTATACCTAAAAGTATTTCCTCAATCATTTTGCTATATATTTCATGCATATATAATAATTGTTTTTAGAAGATCTTTTGTTTTCATACATCATGAACAATTAACTTAAATTTCAAAATAACATTTCTGTTAAACATTTCCCCATTACCTGGTTGTCAATGTATGATTTTGCCAGACGTTTGTCTCCTGGACCTGACCAAAACATTTCAGAAAAGTTGAATTACCAAGATTAAAGTGTGTTACATGTATCTCAGAGGTCAATCAATGAAGAAAAAGGCAAATAATGCTAAAAAACAGCTCAGAGAAATCACTTTCAGTAAAGTATATGTAAAATTTGTTTTGTTAAGTCACTTTGTAATATATTCAATTGCAAAATGCAGAAATGCATTATACAATAATGTTTTATATAGATGAGGAATTATTTTGGTCCCTCGCTCGCATATAAACTTGAAGGCGTTCGCCGGACACTGTCCAGCTAGGGCAGATCATATAACGAAGGTTTAGGCAAGCTGTACTTGATGTAAATAAAACAGAAAAAAATATACTGCTAACCTTTTACCAGTTTATTACCAGATGTTATCTTTTGATTTATTTTGTTTACTTGTGTGAATGGGAAGGAATACATACCCACTGCGGCGGCAACACCACCCCTTCAATATTTTTCTAATGCATTTTGTAGTCACCGCCAAAAGAAATAACAGTGTGATTGTCATGCAAATGTATGTATTTGTTTGTTTGTTTGTTTGAGTGGTTTTACGTTCGCTCCAGTGTGTATTTTATGTTGTAGGGATTTTATACTTTTATTCCGGTCGTTATTCCGGTAATGAATCCACTTAACGAACCCATTTGTGTTGTATGATATTTCTGCTGTAGTTATACCACGACTGCTACGTTCCGTATTTTACATGTAACTTAAATCCTGATAATAATTCATATGCATTTTCTATCCAGGTATTGTCGCATTTCCCCAGGTTTTCGATCTTTGACCTCGTTCTACTACCTTGACAGTGTGGGGGGTGACCCCTTCCACCATTACGTCGTTCGTATACACTCCTTTTTGTCATTGTTTGGTCGTAGATAATATCGCTACATCTATATACAATGTATATATTTTTTATCGCACCTCGGACAGAATTGTCTGATTGGTTGAAATCGGGTCACATGGTGACCCCCTATGAGACTATAGGGGGTCAGTAACATTTCTTAGGGGGCAATATGGTGGCCTTTGTCTGTCGCTAGGAAATTAAAACAAATCAGGTCTAAAATACGCCTTATAAAAACATTTATAAGAGTTGCCTCCCCTACGCCGGTTGAAAATAGTTTACCTTCCGCTTTGACATGACGTCAGGTACTATTTGTACAAATTATGGCACGATTTGGGCAGAGGACCCGAGTAGAAATTTACAAAAAAAAAAGGAAAATTACGCAGAGAAGACGTTGAAATGTAACAAGGTCACAGTCATGACCTTTGGGTTATGTCGACAGACTTTATTGGTTGAGTATGCATACCAAATATGAAGCCTTTATCTTACACAGCTCAAAAGTTATAGATATTTTTTAGATTGATTGGAGTTTCTTGAGCAGGACAAAATATGTCCCAGATGTATCAAAAGGGGGTATAAAGGGTCCTCGGTGCGGTCCAGGTTTGTGACACTGACTGGAGGCACGGTAGTCCAGTGGTAGGACGCCGGGCTTGTGACCGAAGGGTCGAGGGTTCGAGTCACGGAACGGCACTGTGTTGTATCTTTAAGCAAGATACCTTACTCCGCTCGTTCCAGCCTATTCAGCTGCAAAAATGAATACGTGGTTGAGTAGTGCTAGAATTGTAAAATGCTAGCTGTAAGCGCCGAAATGGCAGCACCGGCTGTGTACACTCTAGAGAGTTGAGGGAGATATTGGCTGGTTGTAAAGGCCCTGTAACCACGGATAATAATTTGTGAACCGCTTTGAGACGACCTACAAGGAGGCGTATCCATGTTTGTTATACATTTCTGCATGTGTGTACACTGTATATGTGCTGGAGGCCATCTATTGACGGTTTAAAGTGCTACCTCACTGAAATACTGTATCGCTTGCTCACAACACAGTACTCCAGCCGGTTACATTTGACTGAAGTGACCATTAATTGTTGATTTCCCAAACAAAATCTGTGTTAATTGTGTCGACAATGCTAACAACTTTAATGGCTAAATAAGCCATATATATATATATATATATGTATGTATATGGTAGATTGCGTAAAAATATTTCACATAAGGCAAACGATTCAGTTAAGCCATTGTAAATTAATTGCGTCATAAAAGCAAAGGTGAGTTATATTTCTCACCAATTCGTACAAACCACAATTGCATCAGCCATGTTTGCATATGGTTTTCAAGTAAAGTATGTATTTCTGGGTCCAAAAGCTTACGAATGGCAATTGCATCATTAATATTGCATAGCGTAAACATTGCTGTAAAATAATATCGTCAACAATGCCCTGATGGAATACTTTCATCAACATTGTGTTTATGTCTTCGTAAGGTAGCGGTGTTAACAACGCCTACATACATCAATGTCAACATTTGCTTCGAAGGGTCAGAGTTGCTTTGTACATAGGGTGATTATGTCATAACTGCGATAACATAGATTAATTTCGTCCAAATGTTCATATAAAAACATTGCAATTGTGTCAATATTGTCTTTTTACGATACGTGTAAACGATGCCTTCATATGATGATTGAGTCAGCATTGCCTCTTTCATTGCATAACAAAGCATGCATAGTGCTATTGCATAACAATACGTTCATGAATACTGTTGTAAAGATCAGATTCTATATAATTAACCGATCGGCAATGCCTATATAAGGTTATTGCATTAAAAAATTCGGACACATGTTATTACCTAAAAGTAATTGCACATACAAACACACCGAATCATTATTTTAAGCAATTTTGATATCGGGTCAATTCTTAATTGCCTACTTGCGGTATTTAGATTGACAAATTATCAAAAATGTTAATTAGTCAACAATAATAACATTGACTAAATGCATTAAGTACTTAAAATATGTCTGAAAAAGCGAAGTTGCGTGAAGCGATGTCTAGTAACATTTAATAACTCGAACAATAACTGCACAAGATAATTTCGTTAAATTGTACGTGCATCTGTCAAATCGCATGTCAATTCTCACAATGTTTTATGGCGTCAAAAAAACCTACATGTGAAAATTAGTTTTTAGAGAATGTACTGTTAAGTATATGAACGCAGCGTACATGGGGTAATTCCGCCAACAATGTTATATTCATATAGGATGATGGTGTCAATATTGTTTACATAATGTTCGTGTAATTGGTTCAACAATATCTACTCAGGATAACACCTTGAATAAATCCTACGTAGGATTCATTTGTAGATATTCTAGATAAGTCTTTTCGCATCAACGTTTCCCTTTCTGAAGTTAATTCTTCGGAATTGCGTGTACAAAGCTGAAATCGTCAACTATGCCTAAATATAGAACAATTGATTTATTCAACAATCTTTGCACAGAGTTGTAGCTTTAGCAATTCGTTTATAAACATATCACACCTTTATATACATTTATTTATATTTTTTCTTTTTCTTTTCACGAGGAGATATTTCTTATATATCTTTTCATTGACCGTCAGGTAGACAACAGATCAACTGCTTTGATAGTGCATTAGCGATGTCTAACATGTATGTATCATCAACTTTATGACAAGGTAGTTAACGCGAAGATCTAGGGTAAAAGAGGCTATATATACACTCCTGAGATATCTCATCACTCGATGCGATACATTATAATATCTTCTTGTCATGCTTTTTATCAGAGGTGAGATGAATTCCGGCACGATAGTGACACACACGTCGTTGTATAGGCATTGACAAATTTGAGCACACTTAATATCACAAAAGTTAGAATGATTTAAGATACATTAAGTTCTCTAGCTTAAGACAATGACATATTGTAATATTTGTAAAAATAATGTTAGACATGCTTCAGTCTCTGCCTGTAGAAGTAAACGAGAATTTGTTGGCACAGGTCATTGATAGGTACATCAACCAACAACATATACAGTATGTAGAACGACATCCAGAAGGGTTGGTCTATAAACACTCGGGATAAATCAATAACAACGAAGAGCAATGCTAAATACAATGTTTTTATTTCTTTTAAAGTTTTAACATTTTTTGTTAACATTATTGCAATGAACTTAATGTGTGTCGAATAGGAACTGTATTCAATCATACTGAAACCTTGTAATTTTTATACACGATTTTTCGTTTGCGTAATATCTTGAAAGACATCGTTCGGGTTTAACATTATAAAACATTTTTTTTCTTTTATATAAAATTATGAGTGCTTGACCACCATTCAAGTTTATGTTTTCAATGTTTTCGTATGGAGAAGTAAAAACCTTTCAAATTATTTGGATTTTTTTCATTGCTTATGACTTTCGTGAAACTTTCAGCCTCTGATATTCCATTCGTACGAGTTGTAAGAAACCTCAGAGTCACTGCATTTCCATTCGAACAAATGTTGTTATACCCTTGTCCTTTGCTTTTCCTTTCCTACATATTTTGTGACCCTTGTATAAGAGCCTCCGCACCATTATTTTACAGTTTAACATAGTTGTCTGATAAACTGCAACTCACTTTTAACTCTGACTGCTCAGAGTTCTGTGATGCACTACTATGTCCAGATCGTTCGCAATCCCCCTAGCCATCATCTTGATTTGTTTGAGAGAGTAGTATTGACCCTTCCACTTGGCCCATGTAACCCCCTCCCGCCCTCTGTGGTAATTCCCGAAAGATACTGACCATTCAAGTTGCAGTAATGACACTTCCTGTACCACCAGGCACCAGTGTACATGGTAGCACAATCGCATGTACAAATGTCATTGTCATCATCTTTGGTAGTGAAAGCCGACCCATTATGGTACGCCAATGTATCTTCTGTAAGGGAAATTGGCAGAACAAATCACAAATTAAGAAGATAAACCACAACAACAAAAAATACACATTGAAAAAAAACAGCTAAATGAAAAAGACACCCTAGACTACATCGACACAAATAAACGCTATGAGATGTCAAAAGACAAGGAAATTAAATTAGTGTATATGCCGATATGATTACATTGCGCATGCTATTAAACTAGACATGCCATAATCTGTTTTTGTCAATTAACTATAGATTCATTAAAATATGACTAACAAATGATATAACCATCAGAAAAGGTAAACGATTATAAAATTTACTTGCACTTCCAGAAAACCCCGATACATGTAGTCTGTAAGAGGTAGTTTCGTCCCCGACCCAGAAAGATGCATAATCAGCGTAAACAGTAATGTTTTCAAAATCTTCTAGATCAATTCTCATTTCGGTCTCTCCAAATGATGTCAGAAGATATAAGTTCTCATTTCCTGTAAAATCCAAAGTCATTGTAGTTTAACTTTTTGATAGTATCATTCGATAAATCGATGTCGAAGGAAATAAAGTTTCTATGGGTAGAATGAAAACAAAATGTTTATTCCGTCGCAATGATATTGATATGTAAAACAGCATCGGTCATCGCATATTATTGGAAATTAAGATAAATTGAGTACATATTCTAACATAATTATTAAAAGTAAGTGCAGATATTTAAAAATCAATTTAAATTAAGTGCACGTCATTGAAAAACTAGGGTAAATAACCTTATCATTGGATATTAGGGTAAATTAAGTGGATATACATACAAGTACAGATAAATAAAATGCGTATTATTAAAATAGCGGCGAAATAAGACCCAATCGTTCAATCTTAAGGTACATTTAATGCACATCATTTAATAACGCTATATTAAGGGAACTTCATTTTAAAGTAAGATAATTAAATAGTTTTTCATATGAGATCATGTATATAGATTATCCATTATTTCACTGTACATGTTAATAATTTGTATATTACCAAGCCAAAACTCGTCAGCAACGTCCCCAAATCCAACTTTGTAATCATTCCAACCCAAATAGAAGTGGACGTCACCATCTATACGTCTCTGAAATACCTTATAATAAACATAATGAAAAATATGTTCAGTACCAACTCTACCCAGAGTTGTCGTTCCTTACACTCCGTAAGTAAGTGAATGTAAGGAACGAACTCTCTGGGTAGAGATTGGAATATGTACATATAATGTAGCCATGCGTTTATGTTTTTGTTTTGTAAAAAGATAATTTCATTATTATATACACATAACTTAACCCTTATTATTTAATCCAATATGTCACTATATATATATCAAAACATAGTACAAAAAGAGGTTTTACTCCATATTTACAGGGCAATATTTTGATATCTCAAACAGGCTAAGGGGTAGCGAGTATGTGACATGGTTCGATACTGAAGTATAAAACCAATTATAAACCGAAAAATAACAAAAGAATACCAAAGAGTCAGCAAACATTATGGGACAACTTACTGTCCATCCTGCTCCATCTGTATCCATGTCACAGTAAACCCTTGTTAGTTTACTACCGCCCAGTGTGATATTGTATACTCCGGAAACCGTTACTCCTTTATCTCTGATGTCCAAACAGTCGATAGCACCATCTGAACAAAATCCAAAGGAAAGCTAGGAATATATTTAATACCATGTCAATACACAACACAGTCGATAGCCCCATCGGAAAAAACCCGATTGTAAAGCATTAAGAGCAAATAGTATGATATTAATTCAGTGGAAATAGCGATAATAGTGAATAAACAGATACCTCAGGAATACATGTACAGGTACAACTTTTCATTAATTTCATTATTCTTTGAAATGTTCAAACGGCGTTGACATAACGTACGGAATCGAAAGGAAAAACACTGCCCTCTGGTGATGTTAATTTCACAAAACTGTGCTTGACCAGACTCTTGAATTAAAAGTGATCAAGCGTCTAGTTAAACGAGACTACGTCTGAACAAGGATGAATACCGTACCTACGAGAAATTCACATGCTTCATTCTTCTTCGTTTTCCTGTCTAAATTAGACGAATACCTAAATTATAATGATGCTTGACCTCAATCATTTCATTCTGTCTCATCTAACGGCCATGTTTTTTTATTATAAAAATGACTTGTAAATGTATTATTGATATATTATATCTAAGTATTGTTATTCAGTGCTCTTATTTAGGATAACGCTTAAGCATAGCCCCTATCTTTTTACACTAATATGACTAACTTTTAAACGAACATGATGTGGGGGGGTTTCTTCAAAACTTAATATATATCCTAAACAAATAATCATAATTTTATTTATTGATCAACAATTATGACACAAGATATTGTCTTGCAAATTACAAAATTGGGGGGTGGGGGGTCTTAGTGTTGGAGGAAACCGGGGTACCTAGAGAAAACCCACGTGGTCGAGCAGGTGACCCTAACATTTTCACCTTCGATCGGGGAATCGAACCCCGGTCGTCTTAGTGAAAGGCAAGTACGCTATCCACTGCACATCCCGATATATATCATAACAGAACAACAGAATAGTCTGAAGTGAATTCAATGTTTATCTTATCTATGATTGTCAATTTGTATTCGTGACATTAAAATATATTGTTCCTAATCGATGGATAGGTTTGTAATATATAGATCTATATAACATGCGTATAGCATTGTTACGGTGTCAACCAAATTGCAAAAACCAAAATGGCTGACAATGTGTTACAATATGTTGTAACTCTATAAATTGTATACATGTATATTTATCTACATTTTATTCTTATTTTGGCTCTTTACTATTACTCTTGATGCCGTATTTAAGTTAAGTTCAATAAAACATGATGATGATGATGATGATGATGATGATGATGATGCAAATAATTTATTAGTGAGTATGAAATAATGAAAGTAAATATTTGTGTCGGAAAAAGAGAGATGTGTGAATAGTCGTATTTATGTAATTTAACAAAAACATTTTAGCAAAAATTGAGTGAAAGAGGTTTCTAAATTGTACTTGTCATGTTCACAAAAAAAGTAAAAATATATTCAAATGAGTTATTTTACTAATATTGTTTTCTTTGGTGAACCCCTTGGCTAGGTCAGGACCTTACTTTATGATACAATTTGATTTCAATCTCATCATAACTATTCCAACCAAGGTTGAATAATTTCTTTCTGAGAATAGATAAAATATACCTATATTAACCAGAAAACTTTACCCTCCCCTCAAGGTAGAGCAGATTACCCAAATGACCCTAAGGACCTTTCCATCCATGAAGATTGAAGGTTATTTTATTCACCCCTCAGGCCCTGGGGCGAGGCAGGATATTATTTCCTCATATGATTTAATCGCTATTTCAATGGACGAAATGTGATCGGAATAGGTCATTTGAGCCTTTGTCAAATGTGACCTTGTAGGCGTATCTCTTAAAATTAAAAAGCAATGTTCACAAAAACATTTATCTCCCCTTAAAAGCCGATATTTATATTTACAAGATTTAATATGTGTTAATGAAATTATTCTTATCCGTTTGATATAGTGTTTAGGTAATAGGTTTGTGTCACCTTTTCTCAGTAGAATTTCTTCAAATTTTGTAGTTATATTGCTTTGAAGTAAAGACAATTTTCTGCCACAAAAAAAGATAGGCTGTCAGAATTTTAAGGATTTTAAATGGAAATTTATGTAAAAAGGAGTGAATTTTGTAGAAAAAAATGAAAATCACATTGTTTGGCAAAATAATGTCAATAAAAATGATACTGCCGTAGATAAGTATTGCATTAATGAATATCAATTTAACAAATGCTGAAATTGTGTAAAATAAATGATCTATTACCTGGGGGATGCAGGCAGAGAAGACAGGCTAATTATGTAACACCTGGGGAAAAGTGGAGCACTATAGGTTTACATTGGGGACACAGATAGAGAGGACTGGCTAACCCCTGAGGAAATAAAATGAATTACAAATTTACCTAGAGGACACAGGTAGAGATGACTGGATCACACTTATATAGTAAACTACATGTTTATTTGGAGGATACATGTAGAGAGAACTGTCTTACACCTTGGTGAATGAAGTGAACTACAGGTTTATTTGGGAAACAGTGGTAGAGCGTACTAGCTAACACATTTCTGAATGAAGAACCCTACAGGTTTATCTGAGGAACAAAGGTAGAGAGGACTGACTAACACATGGGGGACTGAAGTGAACTGCAGGTTTACCAGATGGACACAAGTAAAGAGAACCGACTGACACGTTGTCTTGGGGAATGTCGTAGACTAGTTATTCCTGTGGGACACAGATAAAGAGGACTAGCTTACTCCTTAGGGAATATAGTGAAGCATGGGACACAGGCAATGTGGAGTGGTCAACACCTGGGAGAATATAATGCGCTCTAGTTTTACTTGGAGGACACAGGTAGAGAGGAGTTGTTACTAACCTCCTGCCACCGATATTATGTTAAATTCAAATTGTTTCATATAATGATGATTATAATAATTCGAGGTTCTTAAATACCGCTTTATCACAACCTAGTTCGTAGGTCGTCTCAAAGCTGCTCATAAATTATTATCCGTGTTAATAAGGCCTTTGCACCAGCCAATATCTGTCTCAACTCCCTGGGGAATATACAGACGGTGCTGTCGTTTCGGCGCTCACAGCTAGCATTCTACAATTCCAGCACTGCCCAACCACGTACTCATACCCAGCTGAGTAGACTGGAACAAGCGGAGTAAAGTATCTTGCTCAATTATACAACACAGTTCCGAGCCGTGACTCGAACCTGCAACCTTTCCCTCACGAGCCAAGCGCCCTACACTAGACTACTGGCCTCCTAAATATGACTCTATTTTCAAATCATTAATCTTTGTATATGAATCGCCATTACCACGTGCGAACTATTTCATAACATTCAGTAAATGACATTACAGTATATTATTGCAGCTCATATTTTTTGCTTGTCTTATTATTCTGCGGATCATATTCTGGTGATCACATTATTGAAATGCGAAATTACGAAAATATCATAATATGTAAACTTACCATTCTCTTAGCACTAAATTGTTTGCAAAATAATTCCTTACATCAGCTTAAAATAACTTTGTTTTCTGATTAGACCCAAACTTTGATATGCATATGACATTATTATTTCAATGGCTCCTCTAGAAGTAAAACCCAGGACCTCTTGCTTACTTAGAGTCTTACGCTTAACTAAATGAGCTATAGAGAAATTTACCCTTTTATGCAAGTTGGTAGGCATATGTAGCGGCTTGTGTTTTAACCAGGTGACAGTTTTCTCTGGCCCTAACAAGACTTACACATTTTGACATATATGGATTTCTAGTTCTAGTTCTAGCATATATTGTATATTGACCACCTTCAACTAATTGAGGATTTTGTCACAAAATTGGTTTTATGCAGCACAAATGACATACTTTATACATGACATAATAATTGATAATGATCTACTTAGTTATCCAGAGGACAAGGTAACAGATTGAAGGAAGGGGGAAGGATAAGACGCGTCTGGGTTTGTTCTAGCAGATATAGTCTGAGCTAGCAAGTGATTGGGGCGATCCCGCCCGGCAAGACTTACACGTACCCGACTGTATGCCAGCACTAAAGTGGAGTAGAAAGAAAATTTGATTCAAGGAGAGGCTGAGGGAGAGGTCCGTCCAGCAAGCCAGTGATAGGGAAACCCCCACCGTTAAAGCTTATTCGGTAAAGGGGGAAAAGAAGAGAAGTGATAAATTATAAGGAAAGTCTGTTGAAGTCACTACCGTTATTACTCTGCATCTTCAATTTTATAGCTGTGCCCGGAAAGAGATGTTTTGAAAGAGTTGAAAGTGGGTGCATTAACGATGTCAGATGGTAATTTGTTCCAGTCTCGTATGGTCTTTGAATGTTATTGAGATATTTTTAGTTTTCTTCTTATGTCTGGTGTGGGGCCAGAGCGCACTGCTATATGAAAACGTGGAATTCTCCGACACCGTTTGGTAACCTTCACGTGAAATTTGAGAAAGATCCCTCGGGTATTTTTTGTAGAAATAGCGCTAACCTGCTACCAATTTTTAACTCTTAAAATTCAAGCTGTTGTAGCCTAGACTGTTTATCAATAGGAAATGAATTTAAATTAAACAAATAACACGTAAGTGTGGACAGATCCATAAAGTCTAAGACCGATCCATTCCAGCCTAACGTCAGTAACTACTTTTAAAACCCTAAACAATTGTTTTACTTACATTCCGTGGGTGTTTCCACTCTGAATGACACTCTACTCAGGGCAGGAAGACTAGGTTTTACTGTAACTTGGAAGTCCTTGTAGTTGACCCTGGACAAGTAAGACTGATTCTTTGCTGCTTTTCTTGTCCGTTTATGTTTTTTTGCTGTTTCAAATTCAGCATCACTCTGCCGTTTTGACATGTTGGAGGAGACAGGTAGGCCTTACTCCAGAGTGAATGTTTCGAATGGAAGTGAAACGCATGGCGCTAACTACAGTCCGGTAGAACCGGGACATTCCGGTAGCGATAAATTGACCTATTGGGCTTTTGTCGCCACCTATACACCGCATATACTGTATATTTTACATTGTTTGTAACAATATGAATGTTGTAATCAAGAAATGATGTAAAAGTTTTTGTACGAGGTACTGTATGTCTATTCTCTTCGAATGTTCAAGTTCACACACGGAATTAGATTAGACCCTGCTATCCGTGGTTCACATACATTCACTACAAAGTTATCAGAAAAGGTAACAAATCAATCAATATATTAAAAAGGGCCTGTTCATTTATGCGGAACAACCGATTTGACCGTTTATAAATGTAATAATTTCGGTTATAAATCCTGGCGAACCTGCAAATGTTTATGCAGGCCTTGCAAGGCTTTGTCAAGGCTCGCCTAAATGCAGCATCAGATTACTAGGTCCGACCTTAATTAATAAACGAACAACTGTGGTCCGATCGGTTTGACCGTTTAAACGAAAACGGCCTTAAGAGATTGGCTGGGGTGAATAACCAAGCACATGCACAAGATTGAAAGTTGAGTGAATGCCGAATTTGTTTGGTAAATTTACATTATCTTACGGTGGCTTATTTCTGCCATCTAGTTTTAACATTTAATACTATTTCATCTTAACTTGACTTAAAAAAGAATCTACTCCAAAATTTAACTTAATTTCCTTTCAATATTCAGGTAAATAAACGTGTTTGTTTTGCATTAAGTATCATTTAAGGGGAAAATAATTTAACTGAAGTGGAATGTTATGTATTGACCTAAAGAAGAAAATCTTTTTAACTTATGTAGAACACTTTTTCACATACATTTTTAACAACCATTTTCATTGGCTTTAAAATTTATGTTATCAGCCCATAACGTAAAAAAAAGACGTCGCCGTTTGTAAGGTCGCTTTTTATTGGCTGATACAGCGGCGTAATAATTTCTAAGATAAAAGAGTCCATCAATAAAAGTGGATTTACACAGGGATTGTGTATAGTAGATTAAATGATAAGGATTGACTTGAATATATTTGTTTATGTTATGTAGCTATAACACAAAAAAACCGGAGTGTACTCTAATCATGGTTTATTTAGAGTACACTCCTTGTTTTGCGTTAAATCTCCATAACATAAAAACAAAATTCAAGTTAATCCTTAAAGAAAATTCTCAGGCTGNATCCGCCACTGATGCGATAAAGAACATAATAAAAAAACGGATAAGTGAAGTAGGTGAACTCCTCAGGCATAACTCTAAAATAGTAACGATTCGTCTGCTTCCGTCATTCGGAACAAAGTTGTTGTGGCACTTAACAATGTTTCAAAGGAAGCTCTCCGAATAAGGAGAATATGATCGGGAAAACTTTAGTGTGACGTGAGGGTGACATGAAGTTTCATTATCCCGTCATTCGGCAGTTATCTTACAATCAGATTCGCTGTTATAGAGTTGAGGTATAATAATTTAATATCAGGTGTTAGTGGATATGTAATTTGATGAATAGGGTCATTTGTGTTTGGTATCTCTTAAACTGAAATTATGGTCCAGACAGCATAATTGATTTTGGCATATATATTGCACCAATTTGTTAGGAGCATGTTCATTGTAGATGGCGTCATACGTTGTATACAGTACAAATCTGTAAATATATGTCTTTTCAACTTCAATGAAACATCTGAAATATACAAATATATACGAGCGGAAAAAAGAAACTCTGCATGCGGAGAATTGTTAAAGAACATGTATTACCAACTGTATATACATGAACATTCACACACATGACTGATTATGACACATACACACTATCTGTGTCAATGACAGTTTTTCTCGTGCAGTTTGATCTCTATAGGCGTTGACCAGTTTGCACGTTTTTCTCGTCCAGCCATCCAATTCGACAATGAAAGTTTATTTTTCAACTGTTGGGTCACTCTGTTGAGACCAGTGAACAGTAAAAACAGCAGTATAACGTTTTAATTTGTGATTAATGCTATGCCGAGGATCAATGAAAATTACCGCCTCCGGATTATTGGTATGCTTCAAGCTGGTATGGGCCAAGCCGTTGTCTCTACACGTTTTCATGTCCATCGCAACACCATACGGGATTTGTGGAGACGACATCAACAGTTTGGCCACGTCGGCGATCGACCTCGTGCGGGACGTCATCGTGTGACGTCACGTCTACAGGACAACCATATTCAGCTTGTCCATTTGAGAAATCGCTTCCAAATGGCAAGTTTGACTGCCCGGACAATCCCTGGGTTGCTACCAATAAGCCCGAGAACTGTACGGAACCGATTGCTTTAACGAGCTATCCGTCTGCGACGTCCTGCAATCCGCCCAGTTCTTCTGCCACGTCATCGTGTAGCATGTCTGGACTGGTGCAGAAGGCATCTGCGATTTACTCGACGGGATTGGGCAGGCATTTTGTTTACGGACGAGTCGCGAGTCCACCTGGATAGTAGTGACGGCCGTTCCAGAGTGTATCGTCGCCTTGGAGAACGTTTCCGTTACGCGTGTGTGGTACAACGACGTTCTTTCGGCGGAGGCAGCGTTATGATTTGGGGCGGCATCACAGCCAACGGGAGAACACCTCTGGTGGTTGTTAACGGGAATTTGAACGCGCTACGTTACCGTGACGAGATCCTCCGGTCCCACGTCGTTCCTTTCGTGCAAGGGCAGCAACGTCACATTACGCTACAGCAGAACAACTCCAGGCCACACATGGCTCGTGTCGCTGGCCCAGCAGAACGTTGACGTGTTGCCTTGGACTGCTGTATCCCCCGATATGTCGCCCATTGAACACGTATTGGATGAAATGAAGCGCAGATTACGGGCATTACCTAATCAACCGGTGACGTTGGCTGATTTGGCTGCAGATCTGGAATGCCATCCAACAAGCATTCTTGAATCGTCTGATAGGCTCCATGCGTCGACGTTGCCAGGCTTGCATTCAGGTAAACGGTGGACATACGAGGTATTAACTTTGTGAACTCAGTATTGACTCCTGCTTTGTTGACGTCACTCCTGGGTGTAACTTATTGATACCATAACGTGGAAAATGGAATGTAACTGTTAATAAATAACAAATAAATTGTCCCTGAAAACCTTGTTGTTCTACGTCATACACCTTTATTTTTATAACACATTTTAGGCATGCACAGTTTCTTTTTTCCGCTAGTATACATACATGTACAGTATTCTGGTAGGGTTTTATATGAAAAATAATTCATGCATGTGTCTGGTAAATGTCAAGGTCGTATAAATGTATTTTAATATGCGCGAGCGGATAAACTTGGACTACACCTTTGTCCTATATCATCGAGCTGAAAGGGCCTGTTTCTAGTAATGTTAATTCTCCATAGGAGCCTGCCCCCGTATAATTTCTTATCTAGCTCAACTACTGTTTTTTTCTTTTCCGAAGAATAATTTTACACCTTTCCGACACCCAGATTTCATAATTTCAGTGAAAATGTATTTTTATAAAGTTGTCAATTTCAGCATCAAAGACATAAGTTCGTAAATAAAAGAAGGTTATCTCGAAATTGTAATTCGCAACATAGTATAAATTTCTTTTGATAAATATTTCCAAAACATCGTGTTTATTCATAAAACATAAA